TCTCCGTGTATCTCGAATACTGGGCACAAACTTCGTTTCACCACACTTCGCTTGTTCAAAAACTCGTCTTCAACCCACCTCAAGTCTCTTAGTTGTCCACTCGTCTAAGGTTGAAGCTGGATAAAAATTTGACCCTCTTCCATCTCAAGAAAATGTTCACATTTCTCGTATTTCAACTGGCACATGAGCTCTTTTTCTCAAGATGCAATATAATTCATCAAAAACCCACCTCCGGCCTCTCGGTTATCCACTCGTCTAGAAACTCCAGCAGCGGGCCGGGGGGAGACCCAACCGACACATACGCGCTCAGCGCCAGGCTCTTCGTCAGCCCACAAGACGCGCCCTCGGGGGTTTCCACCGGGCAGATCCTGCCCCAGTGGGAGTTGTGGAGCTGGCGCGGTTTGGACAGTTTGCCCTTCTCCGAGAGGGGGGAAGCGATGTGGCGGAGCAGGGATATCGTCCAGGCGTATGTGTCGCGTTCGAGGTCCTGACGTCATCAAATGGGTAGTTGATGACTTCATCCGATGGTGAGGCTAAACCGGAGTTAACGGCTATCCAGAATGCAGTTGGTGGTGCTTGAGAGGAAGGACAGATTGGAAACATAACTATCGTGGGATTGAAAGGCGATGTTTGAGCCGGGACTGAACGAAGTGTCGTGATTGGAAGGTGCGCTGAAATTCGAAAAGGGCTCAAGCGGAAAGCATTCCTGATCCGAAGTTCACTTTCAGCGTAACAACATGACCACGAGAGAGTAGAATACGAGGAAGGAGAAGTGCACCTGAGACACCCCTGGTATCATCCCCACGGTCCCTCGCTCTCCCCACATTCCGGTCGCCAAAGAATAGTTGAACCCGTGTGTAATGATTTTGGCGTTCACGGCTGACGTCAGGTCCATCTTCTGGCCTTTTTCCACCAGCTTCTGAAGGTACTTCCGCGCGCCGTTGGTCATGTGGCGGAACAGCTGCGGCCGGAATGATCAAAGAAGACTGGTCATATGATTTCCATCATTCGACAGAGGAAAGTGTATGATTGCGCGGTAGCAATGCAACCTGACTTCTGCTCTTGCAATACCTGGACGTTGAGAGTGAGGCTGTCGGATCTTGCAAAAACCAGGCTAGGGCGAATGAGGGCAAGATTTGGCTACTGAGCGGCCTGTGCAGCGAATTTGAAACGCACTTCAATTCGTAGATATGCAAAGTCAAGATCAATAAGCACCGTCGCATCAATTGGTTTCAAAATGACCCCAAAAACCACGACAACTTATGACGAAGAGTGTGATGGCCAACTCATCACGGATCCATATTTCCAGCAAGCCCGGACTTAAGAGAACAGCAATTTTTCTGAAACAGGGGGATGTTTTACCGCGCAGAAGAGCCCCCCCATCAGCGGCGCCGCCAGGTACAGCCGTTTGCTCCCGTAGTGCTCCCTGTCGTCCTCTGCCCGCCGGCCCAGCGCACACGTCAGCAGACGGTGGATGACGTAACCCAGGAAGTACGCCTTGTTAGTCGCGCACGATTGAGTGTCCTCGGTGCCCACGTGCGGCAGAAGGTGCGTCTGCAGAAGCTCGCGCGCGCGCGCGCGCGGCGTGTCTCCGTTGAGGTGAGAAGCGGCTTTGCCGCCGATGTAATCGAGCGCGGCCTGCGCGGAGGGTTACACGACATCGGGAGGAGGTTTTATGAAGAAAGAGAGATGCAAACGTCAGCACGAGAAATCTCTCAGGAGAGTTCGAGATACCTGGGGTTGACGTCGATGGAACGAGCGGCGAAGACAAATCCCAAAAGACCTGATGCAGGACTATAGGCTGTAGCCGATAGCTCCTGTCATCAGAGGAGAGAAAGTGATTTCTAAACCACGCAAGTGGATACAAACATGTGAGCGATTAACAGAATCCATTGACGCCGCCCATCAAGAAACTGGTGACGCGGCAACCCAGATTGCCAGGGCCGCATCTGATTTTTTTCGTGCAATCGCTTTGAAAGCCCCGTTTATAGAAAGTCGCAGAACGGGATCCCAAACGCGAAAAACTTCAAAGTCTAAAAGGGTTTCGTGCACATACCTCTTGGCTGGACACGTCAGCTGCCTCCTCCAGCGACGGCCGCAGGAGCTCCAGCATCTCGCGGTCCTCCAGATTGTAGCAGATCCGCTCCAAGATGTGCTCTTCCGCTGTGACGCCCAGAGCGAAGAACAACGGAACAATGGGGACGTCACCCCTGCATCAGGGACTGTGCGTAAGCCAAGGTTTTCATACCAGGAAGCCGTCGAAGGACAGAATTGAACAAGGTGCTCTTTCCGAAAGTGCAAACTTCGTTGAAAGTGTGTGTCCAAGTTTTTTGGTCAGCTTGAATCACGGGCGTGAACAGATATTATGAAGGCATTCCAACCGCGGCTTTTCGAGACACGGGTTGTCGAACAAGGAAGAGGATTCGTCGGAGGTCAAGATCGTCATGAAGGTATGAAGAAAACCTTGAACAAGATGTCAAGTAATATCTTTCTCGATTTGTTTCCACCAAAGAAAGGACGTCTTACTTTATGGAGGGAAGCTTGCATCGTATCGGCTTCCCAGTCGCCCCTTTCGCGCTTCCCGAAAGCATCCGCACATACAGACTGCTGGCTTCCCGGTACGCACCGTCCGCCTGCGACCGCACCTCTGCCACGTATGCATACGGAGACTTCTTGTAAACGTACACGTGGCCGTTGCTCATTCGCTCTTGTGCAATGAGCACCTTTTCTGCGCCGTTGATGATGTAGTAGCCCCCCGGATCGTAGGGACAGTCGCCGGCGCGCGCGCGCTGCGCGTCGGACAATCCGGAGAGCGCGCAGAAGCTGGAGCGCACCATGATGGGCAGCTGGAGAATGGCAGGAACAGGCGGCTTTGCGTTTGGATTTATTCGAACTAGTGTCAATCTAAGCATGATTCGGACCGGTTGAAGATGCAATGGCAGACGTAGTTTAATGGTCCTGAAGAATACGGTATCGAATCAAAGATGATACCGGCAGTCCAGATCCGCCCGCGCCGACCTTTGCAGATCGAAGTCAGAACTAGCTGAACCGGTCTGAAAGATTCCAGAGATTCTTGAACACATAAACACAGGCTGCCCAAACGGCTACCTCGGCTCGTAATGAAGCAAGATCTGCCCGTTCCCGCGTCATATGGGGCGCCTCGGCGATTCGACCCTCCTCGCAAAGAAGCCCATCTCTGGTAAAAAGCCAAGCTGACGACCTCGAAGATAAATCAAGCATGATTCCATGAACAGCGCACCTTTCCAAGGAAAACCTTCTCGTAAATCTCCGTGTCCACCGGCTCCTCTCTGGAGGAGCCCACTCGTACGGACGTCCGCTTTGCGTCCGCGTACAGCGCGCCCGCGTAGGTCCGGTTGCGTAGCCGGGCTTCCTTCGGGGAGAGGCCTAGGGTTTCGCCATCGGCCTCCTTCGTGGAGGGCTTGCTCAGGTAGACCTGCCCAAATTTGATTATGTGGCTGACCTGCAGGGGGGTATAATCAACGAATGGGGCTTTGGAGTTTCGGACTTATGTGCTTTTAGGTGTCAGAGGTACGCCTAACACAATTCGAGGTTCTGCCTTAGCTCAACTTCAAGATAGCGAAGATGATTTGACACCAAGCCTAAATGGATCCTCCAGCTGGATAGCGTGTGAGATCTGGATAATAGTTTCGACGGGTCTTCAAGGAAACTTGGAAAGCTAGCTCCAGGTTTTTCAATCTGATCTGAAAGATCACGACAGCCACCGCTTATTTTCTGCCCTATCTCAGCTCCGTTTCCTTCTTTTTGGATATCTGCTCTCCTTTTTCTCCTTGATCCGTTGATCAAGTCATTCTTCTCCCATTCTGACCTGGGTCAAAAATCCAGTCAACGAACCCTTCAAGTGGCTTGCCTGCTGACCACCTTCCTGCGGCCCCTCTTGGATTTCGATCTCAGGCGCTTCGTCAACGATCTCTTGCATTGCTGACTGGACGAATTCCTCGAAGGAATCCAGCTGGTGCCGAGCCAAGCCGTTCTCTGCAACGTAGGCGCTGGCCACACTCCATGCATCGTCCTGCGTAATCGCGTCTCCCTCCTCTCGTTCTGGTGGACTCTCCATTGACTTCTTTGATGTCTGTTGAGTGGGTTACGGCCGGTGCCCTTAAGAGCCTCTGGTACTGAGAAACTTAAGGAATTGGAAAATAGCAGAGCCCTAGAAGATCTATTCTTGTAATGCTGTAGCAGATTCTCTTACCGCCATCACATGGGTGGACAAATGAAGGAGAAAGTTTGGTGTTTGTGCTGATTGAGTGAAACCGAAAAGTAAGCTACATTCATAGATCAGCCTATACACGAGAATGACAGGTCAACATATCCAGCTCTTCTTCCACGTTGATTGTGAGGGAACGAAGCGCTCCGTCACTTTGCCCAACCGCTCCAATCAAGGGGCTTTGTCAAGTTCCTGCAAAGGTTGTTCTGACCGCCGCAGCGCTGGGTCAGGGTTCAGCACACCAGTGCCGCGAGGACGGGAGGCGTCTCGGGCGCAAAGTTGCAGAGGGTCTCATACTGCAGACGTCAGGATTCCGTCAAGTGTGCGAATTGCGAAGGTGTGCGTGCGACTCGCCGATCCTGGTCTAGGGTTTGTTTCCTATGCTCCGAAATGCTTCGTCAGTCCAAATGCATGGAGTGCTCGCTCAAATGGTGGTCCGCGTGCGGCACCTAGAGGTGCGCGCGCGGCCGCGGCCCCACGCACCGCGGGTGGCAGACTGTGCTGACAGGAGCTTGTACGGAATCCCGAATGTTGGGCACTAAGCTACCAAGAAGCAGCCGTTACCTAATGTTCGACCTTGAACGAAGCTTTGAGTTTCTACTCTGCCTGTTGCGATTCAGTTCTTTCACGTCGTGCTGACCTAAGTAACTGGGCACTGCTCTTAAAATTATAAGTGCGAGCGCTTTGCTGATGCTCCAGCAGAAGGCCGGTGACACAGTTCTACTGACGTTGTTTGAAGCCGGTACGAAGAGCCTTGTTTGGAGAGGGGCCGAGCAATCGAAAGGACATCACATGAAAACATCTCGAAGGCGTCTTCACGTCGAATGCCTCACCGTTCGACGAAACCGACAT